GCTGACAACCAGAGTCCAATCCTCAGGACCCACATGGCAGGAGGAGAGAGCAGACGCCTCTGGGCTCCATACACACACCATGGTTTGTGCATTCGTGCACTTGCAAAATAAACAAACAAATATAACACAGGTTCAGAAATGACTGCTCTTGCAGAGGACCCGAATTGGGTTCCTAGCACCCTTGCCAGGTGGTTCACAACCACCTGTAACTCCTGCTTGAAAGGGATCCCATGCCTCTGGCATCCAAAGGTGCCTACATTCACATACATAAACCTCCACATAGACACAGAAGCACGCATGAGCACGCACACACACAATTTAAAATATTTTTTAAAAACCTTACCAAAAAAAAAAGAAGAAGAAGAAGAACAAGACCTCTACAATCTGTGTGTGTGAGACACCACCGATGCTCCTGTCTTGGCATCAGTCTCACCACGGCCCCCCATGCTTGCCTGGTTCACAGCATTGGCAGCACTGGCATCCAGGCCTCTGGGTTTCCCCCTACAGAGAGAGACACATCTCTCAGCATCACCCAAGCCCTAATAGAGAACTAGACCCTATGCAAAGACTCCTGCCTACACCCCAGCCTCTTCTCTGGTTCCTCCCTTGTCTCCACCTTCAAGCTCAAGAACTCCAAACCATTCCCTGATCTCTAATTCTGTATTTTGTCTTTGGAAGTTCGAGACAAGATCTCATGTATTCCAGGCTGGCCTCAAACTCACTTCATAGCTTAGGGTGACCTCGAACTCCTGATCTCCCTGCCTCGGTCACCACCTCCCAGAGTGCTGGGGCTGCAAGTGTGCACTCCCACATGTCATTCGGGAAGTGCCAGAGACCTCAAGGGGCTCCATGTATGCCAGGCAAGTGCTCCGCCAACCGAGCCGCATCCCCAGCCAACGTGGGATGTGTAACAATTAAAAAGATAAATCACTTCGAAAACCCCGGGTTAGAAACAGCCATCGCATTTGGAGTCTCCTCCTTGCTGGCTGCACTGAGAATCAGCCCCAACAGGAACCTTTAATCCAAGAGGACTGCTTCATGTCTTGAGAGTCAGGGAGCATGCTGTCTTAAAAATCCCACCGACAACTGCCGGGTTGCAATCATGGGCAGAGATGACAGATTCTGACTCCCGGCGCCTAGGCCTTGAGTAAAGGGCAAAGGGAAGCCACCCATCCTGTACCTGTGTAGGACGATCTACAATAATAACAATGACAAGTGTTGGGGGGGGGCAGAGCAGGGGGAGAGCCAGAGGAGAGGAAGAGGGAAGGAGTAAAGAGAGGGGGAAAGAAGAGAAGGAAGACGAGGGGGGAAATGAAGAGGTGGAGGAAGAGGGAGACAGCAAGAACAGAACCTAACTGGGCTGAGGATGTGGCTCAGTTGGTACAGGACCTGCCAAGCATCCTCAGTCCTGCATCAATGGAGCATGGTAGCACATGCTTATCATCCCAGCACTCAGGAGGCTGGGGCAGGAGGACACAAGTTCAAGACTAGCCTGTGCTACAAGTTGGTTCTTGTCTCAAGAAAAACAAAGTTGGGTGGGACTTAAATATCTGGAGCTCATCATCTAAGCCAGAATTATCTAACAAAAGCCAGCTCCCCACTTAGCCCCCCCTCCCACAAGCAACGCATGCCAGTACAGTAATGCATTAGCAAGCTTCCCACTGTACACGTTGCCTCAAAGACCAGCTCACAGAGACACCCCCATGCCAGTGACCCTGGGGAAACACTGGCTCCCCGAAGCACATGTGCTGGGCTAAGACAGTTTCTAAGCTGGGTCTGGAAGCATGGACCTGTAATTCCAGCACTGGGGAAGTAGATGCAGAAGGATCAGGAAAAATAGAGACACCCTGAGCCACTGAGATCCTGTCTCAGAGAAAAGGGAGGGAAGGAGAGAAAGAAGGAACTCAAAATTAGAACCCTTCCCTACCCAGTATTTAAGTCCTAATCGCAGGCTTTGTAATGAGAAGATAGATGATAAGTTCAAAAGAGTAGCTATTGGGCTGGAGAGACGGTGTTGTCAGTAAAGGGCTTGCTGGGCAAGGGTAAGGACCTGAGCTTGATCCAGATGTAGTGGCGCACACTTCTAATCCCAGGGATGAGGAGGCAGAGCCTGGAGGATCTCTGGGGCTTCATAGCCAGCTTCCCATACTTAGCAAGCACTCTAGTGCATACACATGCACACACACACACACACACACACACACACATGCGCACACACACAAACACACACAGGCACAAATAAAATAATAATATCCAATATAATAAAATTTAAGAACATTTTTAAAAACCCAAAGCGGACGGCACCTGATGAATGACAGCAAGGTTGACCTCTGACCTCCACACTTGTACACCTGCACGCACAAGGACACGAACACAAAAAAGGAGCAACTGTCAGACACCCCTACCCTGTCCCACTGCCCATGTCTACCGCAGAGGAAGGGGACCCAGAGGGTTCCCACTAAGACTTAACTGCGATTTTTCTCAATGGTACTAGCTGAATTAAATTATTCCTTTCTTCGTTGTTTCATTTGTTTTGAGGCAGGGTCTAACTAATGCGGTTGGTTGGTTTGTTCCCTTAGACACCGTCTCACAATACAGCCCCATCTGGCCTCAGTCCCCCTGCCTCAGCATCCCAAATGCTGGAGTTATGAGCCTTAGCCACCATTCCTGGCTACTTTTCTTTCTACAGAACCTCTATCCCACACATGAACTCTCAGTGACGGCTGGGCTGGTGGCCATAGTCACTTTCAGGGTCTGAGGAGAAGAGACCTTTTGGTGAACAATCCTAAAACGTTTCTCAAAGATGCCCCGGCTGCTTCGATTAGACCCCCACCCAGCAAGCTTCAACGGGCTCAGAAAATGCCACCTTTCTAAAGCCACTTAGCTCAGGGACAGTCTTGGGCATCTGCCAGGACCCCCATGAACTGCTCAGAGAAGAAGCAAACCATCTCCACGACGAGAGCCCCATGGGTGATGCTAAACTAGGCACAGCGAGGGAGCTGCCAGCCTCAAGGCCGGAAGGGTCACCTAAGACTTCAGCCAACACCTCACAGTGTGGAATTAGAAAGTCAAAACCAACTCTAGAAGGGGCCATCACTCAGTGGGGGAGCACTCCCAGTATATGTATACAAAGCCCTGGGTTTCATCCCCAGTGATGCAAAACAAAAATAAAATGAAATAAAATCAGGGCTAGAGAGATGGCTCAGTGGTCAAGTTTTTGCTGCTCTTACTGAGAGAAAGAACCTGAGTTTAGTTCCCAAAATGCCCATGTCCTCGGACTGACAGCTGCATAGTAACTCCAACTCCAGGGAGATTCCATGTCTCTGACCTCCAACACACACACACACACACACACACACACACACACACACACACACACACACACACACAGAGCCCAGGCATATACAATAAAATACGAGATAAATAATAAAAAAATCACATTCCACTTCCCACCTTGCATAGAGAGACACAGACAGACAGACATGTTAACTCACCCCCTCCAACAACCCAGACAACAGCTGGAGTGGTGTTGTCTTGCTGTCTTGGAGGGGACAACATGTCTTGCACCACCCTGTAAGACAATTCCACACCAAATGGCTTTACAACCTCTACTAAGCTCTGATTCCGGTATTTGTGTGTGTGTGTGGTTGATTTTTGTCTTTTTAAGTTGATTTTTGCAACTGGGAGACAGCAGTTAGATGCACAACACGAGTCCCTCCACGCGCACAAATGCTGTGGTAATGAGTATACGCACGGGGTTAGCACGGAGCCCTGTTCTTTCTACAGGTCTTGGGAACTCTGCAGCCAGGCTGCACCTGGCCACTGCAGATGTAGTTAATACCACAATCTATCAGACTTCACAGCCACACACCGCGGGCTCTCTCGGCTGTTATGTCCTGAACCCAGGAATGTCTCCTTTTTGTATTAAAAGATAAAAATAAAATAAAATAAAAAGAATAGGCTGGGGCCTTACGATGGCGCCCCAGTCTTGGCACCTAAGGAACTGCATGCAGACACAGCTTCCCCTGGAGCTGAGAAATGAGGCTCAAATGGGATCTCACGGGCTCCACAGGCTCCTCGGGCTCCTCGTGCAAAGGAACAGCTTTGAGAAGAAACGCCCCCAATAGGGGCCCGAAGGTGCACGTGGCCCGCACTGTGGAGTCAAACCGCAGCGCTGGGTCCTGACTTAGCACCACCTGCCCGTGGGTCGAAGCATCCTAGGGTCCCCCAGAGCCCTGAGACAGGACTAGAACTACCTGCTGCTGCCCAGACACCCTCAGACCAAGTCTGAGGAAGTTCACTCCCTGGAGCGCTGGTCTGGAGAAGCTGGGCACCCCAGCAAACCTGGGTTGCACTAGAGAGGCAGAGTCTACGTCTGTCCTGGATCTGGATTAGTCCCAAAGCTTGCCACTCGGGGTCCCAGTGGGACTGCTGAAGCCTCTAGGGTCACCCTTTGCGTTCCAAGACCACAGATACTGCCCAAGGGGATGAGCATCAGGGATGGGGAGCTGAATACGGAGTGAACCATACCTCCCACCTCCCCCTATAGATCGCCATGACTCCAGCTTCCCGGAGACCAGGAAGCCACCAAGGACTCCCACTTAGGCTGCCATGCGGATCGGATCACTGACACCAAGAGCTCCCTTTTCCCAAAACCTGAGTGTCCCCGGGGGACACGCAGCCCGGTGGCCACTGGCACCCAAGACTCCACGAGCTGGCACAGTCCCGGGATCCCCATAAGTAAACCCAGGCCCTTCAGCAATCCCAGTGTCCCTCACCCACCCTAAGCACCAAGAGAAATCGGGGTGGCACGGCCCCGAGAGGTGGGGTGCTTAAAGCCAGGTCAACAGGTCCGGGAGGCGCTTGTGGGCAGCACACCCGCCCACTCCGAGACGAGACGCGCTAGGGTAGGGGTATTGGGGAAGGGACCATGGATGCAGCCAGAGAGGCGAGGATGCAGGGAGGATGCCGGATGAGGACCGGGAGAGAGCAGCACTCACCTCTCTTGGAGCCGGGGCTCCGCTGCCCGGCTGCCCAGGCACCTCCTCCTCCGAGGCCCGCAGGGAGGGGGCGACGCGAAACGGAGCGCTCAGCCTGGCGCTCACACGCGTCCCCGCGCGGGCATCCTTCCTCTCTGTCGCCGGCTCCCACGGCGTCCCCCACTCCGGTTGCGAGGCCGCTTTGCCCAACCCAGTGGCGCCCGGGAACCCCGCGCGAATAATTTTCCCTTTCCCTTGAGTCTCTCTGCTGATCTTTGCAGAGCCCGCGGTGATCCAGGCTGCTCCTTCCTCCCCTGTCCTTGTCCTCGCCTCCCGTCTGGGAAAACGTGCGCCCCGCACCCCCTGCACCGAGCTCGCCTCTACCCCTCCCGCGCCCGCTGGCCGCGCGGGCTCAGCCCATGTGCGCGGCTGCCTCCTCGCTGCACCCGGGAGCCCAGTGGCCGAGGCCCCGCTGGAGTTGTGAGCCCCAGAAACTCCATGCAGCTCCGGCCTCCTCCCCAGTGCCTCCCCGGCTCCTCCCAAGGAGAAGCCTAGTGATCTTTAGCAAGGCGATCCCCTTCCACTCTTGCCTTCTTCCCCCGAGTCTGGAGCCTGGTTCCTGGGGCTTGGCCACCCCAGTCTCTCCCGGCTTTTCTCCCAGAATTGGGGAGAACCCACCCCCACCCCCAAAGCCTCTCCAATGGCTCCCTCCGTTTCCAGGCAGCACAACCTGAGGAACGCCTCGGTGCGCGCGCACTCTCTCTCTCTCTCTCTCTCTCTCTCTCTCTCTCTCTCTCTCTCTCTCTCTCTCTCTCTCTCTCTCTCTCTCTCTCTCTCTCTCTCTCTCTCTCTCTCTCTCTCTCTCTCTCTCTCTCTCTCTCTCTCTCTCTCTCTCTCTCTCTCTCTCTCTCTCTCTCTCTCTCTCTCTCTCTCTCTCTCTCTCCCTCACACACACACACACACACACACGTGCACGCTGCACACACAGGCAGACACGCGAGGGGGGGCGCGAGCTGCAGCTTAGCAGCCGACCGTCCTTCCTCTCCTCCCCAAACAAGCTGCCCACGTTCACTTTCACCAATTGCTTGTTTCTATTAAACACCTCAGCCCCAACCCAAGCATGCCCACCCTTACCTTAACTCCTTTTTTCCCCGGTGCCCACAGTTACACCTGAGTTCCCAAAATCCATTGGGGAGGAGGAGGTGTCAGCTAAAAGGATGCTAGTCAAAACTAGGGTGAGAGCAAAACCCTGTGGATCCTCCCTTCACAACGTCTGGGAAGGGCAGAAGCATGCCCACCCACCTCTCACCCCGCATCTCTCGAGCCTCAGAGCATGCAGCCCGTCCCCAACTCTACCAAGGTCATAGTATAGATCCCGTAAGAAAGGCTGGGTACCTTACACAAGGTGTGGGTTGGAAACTTCACAGACGGTTTGCAGCCTAACCTGGAGATGACTTCCTCCTAACTCTACACCCAGACAAAATCCAGGTCCTCCTTTGCCCCACACTTGAGGGGCAACAATTAGCTTAGAGTCACCACTTAGCTTTCCTGGCTGCCCTCCCAGTGTCCAAATGCTGACAGGATACAACTTGCTACCAACCTTAGTCTTATCAAAGTTCCAGGCCCCCTCCCCAGCAAAAGGCTCACATAGCCCCTTCCTGCTCCTGCTAGGGGGAGGCAAGAGAGAAAGAACCACCCACCCGCCTGGCTGGTGCTAGCTAATCTTTCCTGACATTGCCTTCCAGGGGCTTCCAGGGGCTTACTCTCTACAGGGACCTGTATCCCGGCTCAGCAGTGCGGACTATGGGAATCAAAGGCATGGGGGAAACTCTTGCTCCTTCAGGGACAAAATGGGAAAAGTCATCCTTAGCATCCCATCCAAAAAGCTCAGCCATCACCTCTCCACTGGCTGCTGCTGCTGCCAAGGGAGTTTGGACATTGGGGCTGCCAGCCAGCCACAGCAGTTAATCAGGTTCCCCTCCCCTGTCTGTGCCTCCTGGCTTGTCACCTGATCTCTCCGTTTTTAAGTCCCTGCATTGCTTGTTACTGGTGGCACTCCTCTGACATTTAGGATTTCTTAGCACAGGGGATTACTATCTTTCTCGGCTTTCCCTCCCAAACTGTCCTGTAGCTTTCTTAGGGAAGCAGGTGAGCTCTGTGTGTGTGTGTGTGTGTGTGTGTGTGTGTGTGTGTGTGTGTTTCACTGGTGTGTATAGCAGAGATTTCCACAGAGAGTGATAAATAAACCAGGTGTAGTGGTGCTCACCTGTCATCCCAGCACTCAGGAGGTGGAGGCAGAGAATCCAGAATAGAGTTTCCAGGCCAGCCTGAGCTACTGGCGAGACCCAGTCAAAAACAAAATGGTACGGTACAAAGAGGGGGAAATCTCAGTATATCTTTTTGTGTGAGGGTATATGGTTGTATATATGCATATGGAGGCTAGAAGACACCATAGACGTATTTCTCAGCTACCATTCACCTCGGGTTTTGGTGTTGTTGTTTTGCTTTGTTTTTAAACAGGGTCTCCCATTTTTATTTGTAGGCTACACACTGGCTGGCCAGAAAACTCCAGGGATCTCTATCTCCATCTTGGTGGTGGTGGGATTACAAGTGTACCGCTGTACCCACCCAGTGTTTTGCATGGGTTTCTGGGAGAGAAGTCAAGTCCTCTCCTGCCTGAAAACTGCTATGTATCTGTCTAGAGGGCATCTCCCTGTGTAGCCTGGCCTGTGAATTCCTGAGCTCACCCTGCCTCAGCCTCCTGTGTACTGGAACGGCAGGCATATGTCACCACTCCCAGCCGAGAGCTGTAACCTTTTAAGAAACTGACTTTTAGGATGGACCACAGGCCAGCAAAGCCCATCCATAAAGACACACATACACAAAGTCCCTGGCAGGAGGAGATGAAGAGTTAGTCGCATGACCACGACTAAGGTGGGACACACCGGCACAAGTTCTCACTCTGACCTCCCTGCTGCCTAGGGACAAGTTATCTGTTCTTTCTGAGCCTTGCCATCCTCATCTGTAAATTGGGAGCAGTAATGGCATCTACCCCTTTAAGGTCTTTATAAAGATTGAACGCCACCCTATGAAGCACAGTACACAAAGTTTGAACGCCACCCTATGAAGCACAGTACACAAAGTGTCACTTGGCTCCAAGCCTAGAGTAAGCTTCAACAACCTTGGGCCTTTGTCACTGTGTTGTGAAAATTCTTACTCGGAGCACATCTGCCCCCTCTTCATAATGTCCCACTGAACACAATTCCCCCAGAATTCGCCCTGGGGACCAATGACCTATTGGATTTACTTACAAAGCATGAGTGAGGGGGTAACTGACAGGACTGTGGGTGACCCCAAAACAACCACAGCAGGTAGCCTTTACCTAGCTTGGATGATACTTTCCCTGAAACTGTATAAATGGAGCCCCTACCCCTTTAATTAACCTTCCTTAGACTAAACACTCCAGCACCATGATTCTCAACCTTCCTAATGCTGCAACCCTCTAATAGAGTTCCTTGTGTTGGGGTGACTCCCAACCATAATATTATTTTTGTTGCTACTTCATAACTGTAATTTTGCTACTGTTATGAATCAATGTAAATATTTTTGGAGGTAGAGGTTTGTTTGGGGGGGTCATGACCCACAGGTTGAGAACCACTGCTCTCCCTAGCACCTTTGAGACCCCAAAGATTGTCTATAGTTAGGGCCAAATTGCACACAAATGGCCACTGGGTGCAGTGGTTGGACTCTCAGGAGCGAGTTAATGGCCCTTCCTCCCGGAATGGCACACCAACAGTTAACAGGCACACTCTTGCCCCTCACACATGGCTGATCTGATTGAGATGGCAGCTGCTTTGCAGCAGAACCCATGTTTTACAAGGAGTTAACACCTGTCAAAGATGTGACCAGGAGGAAGGAGGAGTCAAGGGTCTCTCTTCCCAGGATACAAAGACATCAAGAACTGAAAGAAAGTAGCAGACTTTGATGATCATGGTATATTTCTCACTGCCCTTACCAAATGTAACTACAGTAAGAGTTACAAGTTAAGGGAGAAACTGGGTCACAGGTCCTGACATTTGCTTAGCTTTTATTATATAAATAGGACATACATAAATGTGTAACATACATACATACAATCATACATACATATATATACACACACACACACACACACACACACACACACGTTTTCAAGTAAAAAAGGGTTAGGAACTTAGCTAAACAGCAGAGCCTAGAACCCCCCTGAGGAGCTCAGGGCATAACTCAGTGGTAGAGCACTTGCCTAGAATCCCCCAGTGAGAGGCTGGGGTGTGACTCAGTGGTAAAGCACTTGTCTAGAATTCCCCAGTGAGGATAACTCAGTGGTAGAGCACTTGCCTAGAATTCCCCAGTGAGGGGCTGGGGTGTGACTCAGTGGTAAAGCACTTGCCTAGAATCCCCCAGTGAGGATAACTCAGTAGTAGAGCACTTGCCTAGAATCCCCCAGTGAGGGGCTCAGAGCATAACTCAACGGTAGGGCACTAAGACTCTGGACTCCATCCCCAGTACCATAAAGAAACGTTTTGCCAATTACAGAATGGAGGCTGAAATCAACACAGAACAAAACGCATGGCGGGGACTTTGTTTCATCACACTTTTGTAGCTGCAGGTAGTATTAAGCATTGTCCCCAGTCTAGGGAAATTCAGCATGGAGCATGGAGCATCTTCCTTCCTCTGCCTGGCTTTGGGATTCTGTGTGTGTGTGTGTGTGTGTCTGTGTGTGTGTGTCTGTGTGTCTGTGTGTGTGTGTCTGTGTGTGTGTGAGGCACAGAACTATAACATCAGTGTGTGTCTGTGTCTGTATGTGTGTGTCTGTGTGTCTGTGTGAGTGTGTGTGTCTGTGTGTGTGTCTGTGTGTGTGTCTGTGTGTGTGTGAGGCACAGAACTATAACATCAGTGTGTGTCTGTGTCTCTGTGTGTGTGTGTGTGTCTGTGTGTCTGTGTCTGTGTCTGTGTGAGGCACAGAACAATTACATCAGTGTCACTGGTAGTTGTCACTTTCTGGAGCAAGCAGGTCACACTGCTTCTCCTCTTCCGTTCTTTAGTCTTTCCTTCTTTCTTTTTCCCACTGACTGGCAGATCTACCTCCAGCGCTCCAGACAATCAGGAGCAGAAAGTGATGAAGAGATCTGCCATGCTCTGAACAAAAGCAGTTGGAAATTAAAAAAACAAATAAATCAGACCATGGAAAAGGAGCAGCCGATAAAGGCATTTTGGGCCGGGTCTGATGACCTGTGTTCAGGCCCATCAGGGTGGAAAACAACAGTCTTGACTCCTGAAAGTTGTCCTCTGACCTCCACACACTTGCCAGAGCACATGTCCTGGCATGCACATGAGTAAAAAGCCTGCCTGTGTTGATGCGAGGAATAACAGAAACCGCAGTGTCAGGTCCAGACGCTGCCCCCTCGTTTGCCTTCACTCTCTCGGTCTTCAACTCTCTGCTCTGCTCCTGCTTCTCTTGTGGTCAGATCTGGTCTGCTGGCCATGTTCAGCCTACTTTCTCTCTCTGCCCTAGACTCCCAGATGCCTCTGGCTGTACCCTCCCTCATGTCCACAATGAAAACCTTCCTCTTAACCACACCACAGAGCGGTCATGTCATCAGTTCATACACTCAGGAAGTCATCAACACTGGGATTCCAAGTAGAAAACAGGAAGTGAGTTTTTCTA